ACCCTTCCATGAATAGAACTAATTAAAAGAGCAAAAAGCAACATTTTTTTAACTAGGAGAATGTCTTGGGCATACAAAATTCTCACTAATTTTTAATTTAGATGTCACTTTTGGTTTATTTATATAAAATAGTACATGAAAATAGTAATTCTGAGAACATAAAGCATGTGTACTCTGCTTATGACTGTTTCAAAGAGCATAGCACTCAAGGGTTGAAATACAGAACTTCCCAGTGTACAAAGCATTCAATAATTGAAAACTCATCCCTCTTGAAAACCTTTTTAACCTAACAAGAGAAATCTAAAAGGGGGCCACAGAAGTATTGAAGATTTCCTTTTTTTTTTTTTATTCCATTCTCCTACATAGTGGAATGTGTTTTATTTTCAGGTGTTTTATTTTCCCTTCTTTAAACAGAGCTGCCTTGCTTTTATTTCCTCTGTCATTTATTACTGGATGACTTTTTTACTTACATTGTGATCTGCTGCTCAGAGGTTTCAACTGGAAAAGTGGTAATAGAAAAATGAGTTAGCCTTATTATACAGATAAATATAGTGGCTTAAAAGTACTGTAAGACAAGTAGAAGGGGAATAAGTGCAGAATTTTGTGGAAATTAACAATGATTCCATAGAAAAATGCAAGAAAAATAGCTTTTAAAATCATGTTTCAGGCTAAAGTGATATCCCGTGGTTTGGAGTTGATTTTAAAAATGGAAAGTAAATCAGTGTGATATTCACTAAAGCATTGTATCTCAATCATAACAAAATAAAGACTTAAATTGATTTAAATAATGATAGCTAATGATATTAGTCTAAAAGTTTGAGAAATGCAAAGTTTTCTCTTCCTTTAACATACTTTAACAATACGCCCTGTCCAACACATCCAGTAGTTATTTATTTAGACAGTCAACTATTTTCCCCTTTCCTGTGGTCAGGATCAACATAATTAACATGTATGAACAAAAAAAAAAATCTGTCAACCTTACAATCTTATAGTTTCATTGGCTGGTCTCGAAGACATTACATACAATTTAGACATTATGTGGGATCAGATACTTGAATATGAAAAAAAAACAAAAACAAAAACAAACAAACAAAAAATGCTATTTTATCATTATTGCTTTTATTGTTACTGTTACTGCTGTTTTTGCATCTGGTGATGTTTTAGCTTACTTCTGCCAGTGAAATAGGAGGATGCTTGCAACTAGAGATCATGTTTGCAGGCTGCTGAGTCATGCTGATGGATCTGTGCAAAGCCAGTATGTTAGCACTGGACTTCAACTAATTGCTTACTGCTTCCAAAGGAGGAGATGTTAAGAAAATGTAAGTACAGTGAAAGTGATGTAATATATATATATACATAAAAAAATAAGAAATAGTGTTTCTCTAATACCAGCACCAGTAGAAAGGGAAGAAAATTGACTAAGTAGGGTGTATATAAAGCAGCAGACTTGTTCTGAAGCATAGATGCTTCAGTGCAATCAAGAAAAACAAATTACAGGCAATGAGACAATCTTAGCATGTACTTATTCCTACTCCTGAAGGGAGGGCAGGGGTAGTGTGACACTGCAAAGGTGCAGCAGGATGTGAAAGAATGGGATTGTATGGCATGACTACAAGGATAGTGAGTCCAGAATTAACCACAGGGCACTGATTGCGAAGTATAATGTTTTGGGAGCCTTAGGAAGCATCTCTGTGCTGGTAGCAAGTCAGAGGCACAGAAGTGCTGGTTCATACCCTCTCCATCCAGAATTCTTGGATACTTTTAAGGGTAACTCATAATCACTCTGCAGTGGTACTCAGTTGCTGTCTTGAAGGAAAAATGGAAATCCTAAAAATAACCATGAAGCACTTTCTTTGCATACACTTAAGCAGCATGCCCTGGAGATGATCTAAGTGGCACTCTTTTTCCTTCTTTCTCAACTACATTCTTTTACTTCATTGAGCACAGTACATAACCAAACCATAACACATGCAATATGATGAATTTTCTCTCATTTTGGTCCAGCATCAAGTGTACAGCTGCTCTTGGAGGCAACTTCCAGCAGGAGTAGCCAGAAAGTACAGACACCGACAAATACAAGCTTCCTAGGATTCCATGAAAATAGCATTCTCCCAAACTCTCGCTTGCTTGTAACCTATTCCAAACACATATTCTTGCCAAACTTCTTGCAGCTGTTACTCCCTGAAGCTTACTTCACCTTAATGGATTGTAAGCAGAAAACTAACATAAACATTCTTAAGAGACTCCTTAGGTAAACCTAAGGTTAAGTCCTTAGGAACCCATTCATTTTCACAATATTTACAATGTTAACTATACTAGTGTGTAATTTTGTTACAGTTTCTGAGTCTGGATCCCTCTCAACTCTGTCTCTAGACCTGTTCTGGCACAACTCACTGCAGCTCCTCTAGGACTTAAGGCCACTCCTAAACCTCGTACCTTTCAGATTTACCCAGTGTATCATAATGAATTTTTAATTCACTTGCAATATACCAAATAACTACGTACACATTCAAAATGAGAACATATATATTCAAATGTTTACCTTATTACCAGTTCTTAGAATCTGGTGAGTAAACAATACTTAAAATATATTGCCAAAAATATATGTATCCAGTTTCTTATACATGTGTTAATGTATAATTTACAAATCATAACTATTATGCAATTTTGGATTGTTAAAATACCACCTTTTAACTTTTTTTTCTTGTTGTTGCTATTTCAGGAAGATATATGTGCTCAGAATTACATAAACTGAAAAATGAAAAGCAACAACAAAACAGGGTTGTAATTCAGGCCTCTGTGCTGCAAGCATGTTTTGACTAAACAAAACCTCAGCCATTGAACTGTATTTCTTTATGCAGTATCTAAGGCTAATCAAAATGGAGCACACCAGCCAAGGAAAAATGTTTCCCACACCTGAAATCTCCAGACATGATAGTCTGTGATATCATCACAACATGATTGAATTCTTTGTCACATGTATGTAAAATATAGTAAAGTTGGTTAGTTTTCATAGCAAATGCTTTTATTTCTTGTAGAGTTCTGTATTTTTAAGGACTACTTTTTTTTTTTTTTTTTTTTTTTTTTGGGGGGGGGGAAGGGGGAGGTAGTGAGGGATTAAACCTTCTCAGTTGTACAGCTCTTCTTCTGAGAGCCAAGCTTAGCAGGGAGAGAACAAATAAGATTGGTATGAAATGCCAGAACAAGCCTAGCACTGAGCAAGAAAACAAGCAAAACACAACTGTTAATATATTTTATATTTTAAACTTTGCCCAGTGTTCTTTTCCCATTTCATAAAAGAAGTCGAGAGCAAAGAAGAAAGGAAACATTTCTTTTCATTCTCTGGAAACACTGGGGAAGAGATAGAGGACAGAAAAGAAAGAAAGAAATGGTTAGGGCAAGGGATAAAGCTTTGTGCGAGGATGTGAAGAAGGCAAGCTGGTGCCCTCACCAGTCTTTTATATAGCAGGGCATCCTCTTACTGGCCAAAGTAATTTTTATAGAGTAATAACCTGACTGTATCTTCTGCCTCCTGACCCAGATGAAAAGAAAGAGGCTCTAAACAAAAAGTGAGGGAGGAAGGAGGGGGGAGAAGGAAGCGGGGAAGTGTTGCCTGGTTAGCTCCCTCCAACAAAGCACCTGGCTTATGGAAGCACTTCTATCCCTCCATTAATTTATCTCATGCAGATGCCTCTCTTGTCTTTTCCTCTTAATGCTTAAGCAGTAAAGTTTGGGGGGGGGGGGGGGGGGGGGGGGGGAAGAGGGGGTTAGCTGTGAACATTTTGGGGACCGGTGAATTGAGGGTGCAATCATTTTGCAGGCCGAGGCGGTGGCTGGGGCCTCAGGTCTTGCTTCAGCTGGAGCAGAGCTGCTCTAAGCTCCAGCCGCCTGCTCTCTGCGACTGCTGTGTTTGTTAATAAGGAGACAGGCGAGGAGAGCTAAAAAGGGAAAAGCAAGCGTCTTAAGGAAACTCTCGGCAACAGCCTGCTCCAGAATATTTCTTGTCTGGTAAGGGAGAAGGGGGAGAGCTGCCATTCAGCCAACCAGAGCTGCTTTCGGGCCACTCTCACATGCTTTTGGGTCCAACCCCAAGCGCTTCCATGGTGGGACTGTGGGCAGCTGCCCCTTGTGCCGCCAGAGGCTGCCCACCGCAGTGAGTGCTCCCCCCCAAAAAAACACTTGTTTCCTTCCCATCTCATCCAGTAACTTTCTCACGGGAAGCAACAGCCCTGCCAGCGGGTCAGGAGGAGAGGCCATGACACAGGGCAGAGGCCGAGAAACAAAAGCAGGTGGCAGATGGGACTGCTGCTGGTACCTGTCCTTCCCCCAGCCGCACATGCGAATCGCTCCGGCAGGAGCCGGGAGAGCCGCCGCTGACATGACTGCGCGGCACAGCGACTGCGGCCCCAGCGCAAGGCACGGGAACGCCCCGAGACCGAACGGGAGCCGGGGAACCCCACGCCGCGCCCCCCACGAGGTGCAGGGGTACACCTCTGCACATCGCCGGGGCCGGAGCGGCAGGAAGGTGCCGGGTACCCCGCGTTGAGCCTGGAGCCGCAGGAGGGTCAGCGCTATCCCCCCCAGGGGGCGAGCCGGGCGGCAGCAGGACCCCCGTGCACGCTCTCCCTTGCACACACACACACACACACACACAGTGCCCCCGTGCAACCCCACCCAACCCCAACGGGAGCGGCAGGAGGGGCAACCCTATCCCTCGCACGCCGCTGTCCGCCGGGGCACGGCACCCCCCTACCCGCACACCCCCCAGCCCCGGTGGTCCCGCACCGGCCGGAGGGCAACAGGCGGCCGGAGGCTGCAACTTCGCGCAGCGCCTCCGAGCAACTTGCGCCGCCGTCTCCGCGTGTGCGCGCTTGGCGGGGGGGGAGGGGAGGCGCGGGGGCGAGCGGCACTTGCCGCGGGTGCGGGGCGCGGGGCGGGTGCGGGGCGGCGGGGGCCCGGCGGCCGCGGGGGCTCGGGGCGGGCTCTCTCCGCACTCGCTCCGCGCCCGGCGCCGCCGCTGCGCCCTCCCGGCTGCGAGTCCGCCCGGCTGCGGATCACGTGGCGGTTGCCGGAGGCAGAGACTAGAGAGGAGAGGAAAAAAAAAAAAGCGCCTCATTCCTTCTTCCACCGCCATACTGTATTTTATAGTAACTCTCATTTTTATTCCTCCCTTTTACTCCCGCTCGGTGAGTACCTTTCCGCTGACATTCTTGTCCTCCTTTTTTTGTCCTGTTTTTTTTTTTTTTTCTTCCTTTTGTTTTTTTGTTTTTTCGTTTTTTTGCTTTTTTTTTTTTTCTTCCTCTTTGATTATTGTTTAAATGGATTTGATCTTTTGCTGATGACAAGTTTTTTTTTTTTTTTTTTCTTAGCATGCGATGGTTACTAAACTATGAGCAAAAGGTGCTGCTGGGGCCGGGAGTCACTGGGAATGAAAAATGATTATATTAATAATACAGACTTGCCAGTCCAGCAACAACTGATATACATTTAGTAGCTATATATCTATATATGCAACTGGTTTTGTTGTGGCACAGAAAAGCAATGTGAAATATGACTGCTTATTTTTTTTTTTAAGATAAGAGAAAAGGCATGTTTCTAACTTTTTTTTTTTTTTTTTTTTCTGCAGAGGATTTTCTCTGGTGTTGTTTTATTATATTTTTTTTATTTTTTTTTTTCGTGTAGGGATGGGAATTGCAAATACATTTTACAGCAGTGTTTACAAAGAGTTTGTAGTCTTGCAATACTGGTGAGAGCCACAGAGCAAGATGTTAATTTTATTATTTTTGTTATTGTTTTTTGATGCTCAGTGCAATCAGCAGGGTTTTTTTCTTTTTCTTCTTTTTCAGTTTTTGGTACCTGTTTATAACATGAAACTTTTCTTGCAGCGTGTTGCAGTTACTATTTTTAAATACTTTTTTTCCTCCTTAAAGATAACTAAACAAAATATAAAGCCAAAGAAATGCTTGTTACTTTTGCACATTTTGCACCTTGACTTTTTTATTCTTTTGCCGGCATTATTTTATGATGGTTATTGTTATCATGATGATGATGCTGATAGATATATACATATATACAAATAAATACATTTTCAAATGATGGCAGTGGAAGGTTTTCCTGGAGAATGAAGTGCGGTTTGGTTTCCTTGTCAACGGAAGATGAAGTGAACAACTGAACATCTCCCCAGTGCAGGTACTTCATCTGCTTGTAGGCGTTTCCACGCTGTGTAAATTACATTGTGAGATTTTTTTATTATTATTATTTCATTTTTTTTTATTTTAAAGAAATCTCCTTCCACCCTTAGCTTAAGGTTTCTGTGCAATTCACAGGAGGTCTGAACTAAATATCTCTGCCTTGTAATTGCTAAGATGTGTGCAAAATGTTGCACTAATTGAGCCTAGGTCGGTTAAGCTGAAGAGAGGTGTTTTATGTACTGTGCTGTAAGAGGAGAAGGCAGCTGGGGAAAAAAAAAAAAATCCAGATTCTTCCCCCATCACCTGCCCCCCCCCCCCCCCCTTTCCCTAACCTCCCAGCCAAAAAAAAAAAAAAAATCCCAAACCAGAACTGTGTGAAACCTTGATATCCTTTTTATGAGAACAAATACTTACAGGACTTTAGACAAGAACAAAACCCTGGCCCTGTTTTGCGGTGACTCGTGTATTTGTGTGTGTCTGTTTAAAAATTATCCATTAGAAAATAGCTGTGAGAGAAACAGCAAAGGAGGCTCCCTCGGAGAGCTGGCTCCTTGCCACATGAGACATATTTCGTAGCCCTGAGGGCAGCAAAACCCTTATATCCAACTTCTGCTCTTCATATTAAAAAGGCGTAAACAAGGCAGCAGGTTGCCTCTTGTGAATTTAATTCATTGGGATGAAGATTAATCAGAAACAGATATTTGCTTGAAGGTGTTTCGTTTTGTTTTGATGATTATTAATGCCACTGGCTGGCAGGGAATGGGAAACTGTTACTTTCCGTGACGGTCACTGAGAGTTCAGGATTGGAGAAGAAACTGTTACTTTTCATTGATGGCACTTAAATGCTTAACAGAGACTGCCCCTGATGTAGAGACAGGATATTGGCTCTCTAAAATATGATTTGGAAAGATTTTTCCAGATGACAGGCTTGTGTTTGTTGTTGTTGTTGTTTTTGTTTGTTTGTTCTGTTTGTTTTTTTTTTTTTTTTTCCCCTCTTTCTCTCTCCTCTCTCTCTCTCTCTCTCTCTCTTTTTTTTTTTTCTTTTTTCTTTTTTTTTTTCCTTTCCAGAAGGAGGTATCATGCAATATTATGCTAAAGAAGTGTTGAACCCTTGGTCTGCAGTGTTCTCTATAGTTTACTTTACTGTGATGGGTTTGCTTAATGTATTTTGTATAAACAACCTCTAAGGATTTGTAACTGTTCATAAACATAAGCTGTGTATACAGATGTGGAAACCGAAGTAAGTTACAGGGAATATATTTATTTTTCTATCATGATATAGGCAAAAATGTGTCTTCTGTTTGTAATTCATAGAGCTATAAATTCATTTGGACGTTTTAGGCTTCTAACACTTATATGTACATTGTTCTAACTTAACAGCTACCTTTAGAGAAGAAAGTGTGTGTTAAAGTAGAAAGTGTGTCTTCAGCATTCTCTTGTACTATTAGTCATGTTGAAAAGTAAATATTTACATAGCTATGTTTCCATGAAGAAAATATATATTGTGTATTTCAGGTGTCTTTTTCCAGTTTAAATGTAATATAAATATTTAGCATACATGGTTTCTGCTCTGACATGATAGAATACTTCTGACAGTATATCGGGGTCAATCATCCATGCATCTAAAAAACACTGTCTAGATTTGACATACAATCTACGATAGATTGTGATGACTTTTCTGAAATAGTTACAATCTCTTGGGTCAATATTTTACACTTTAGAAAGACTCAGACTGCTTATTTTTTCATGATTTAACTTGAAAGAAAGCCATTAAAATACAATAGTGATTGAAACTTTATCCTCCACTTCTATTTTTGTTTCTGTCTCCCCTTATTTTTAAATTAAAGTTTTTCTTTAAATTATGTGGATTATGTGTAAGAAAAATATTTTTGACACTGCTGAAGCACTGAAATAAAGTAACTAGCTTAGCAGTTTCCAGAATAATATTACTTTTGTCCTTTCATTCAATGTTGAGTGTGTGTTGTGTGAGCAATTTTGTACAAGTAGTTGCTATGCGAAGATCTGATCTTGCTCACCTAGTCCTGTCTTGAAGTTTGAGTTAAAAGTTTTAGAAATCTCTATTTACAGCACCCAGATTTTGTCTACAAAGGGCCTGTTGTCTCAGTAGCACAGTAATCTAACATACATAAATACATTTAATTTGAAGAAATCTGTAACTGAGTTGTCATTTCATGTGTATCAAACAGTCTTGGGATTTAAAAATACAGATAAAGGTGCTAATTTTGAAAAAGGATACCCCTACCTCCTGCAGTATGTGGGTACAGTAGGATTTGGATCAGTGGAATTGATTCCAGCTTGGTGTTTCCATAGTTATGCTATGACTAACACTGCTGTGAAAGCACATTTGGAAAACCGTAGTTTGTGTAAAAGACAATTGCTATTTTTGGAAGGAAAAATAGAAACTATATCTAATGAATTGCAGTGTTGTTTCTACAAATGATAATCTAATTTCATCTTACATTTAGTGTGAGAAGCACTTGTACTGCCCCAACTCCTGAAAGTGATGTGTGTCCAGACTTAAATGGCATCTTCTATTTTATTTTAAATCTGATTTGGTATTCAGGTCCGGTTAAGAATTTAAGATACCTTTTAAAAGGTTTGTAAACTGAAAGCTTTGGAAAACTTTATTTATTTATTTATTTATTTATTATTATTATTATTATTATTATTATTATTATTATCTTCCTCCATAACTAGCTATTATTAACAGTACTTACTAGCAAATAAATATATGTCAGGTGAATAAAAGTTAATGACTATGGTACCCACAGAGCTGGCTCATAAATGCACATTTTTAGCCACTGTAGTGGCCACAGCTGGCAGTAGGAGGATATCTTCTCACATTTTTTCCATATACTAGATAGGACTAGAGAGGCCTATGGTGTCACATCAGTTACATTCTACTGTTGTGCTAGGCTGTTCTCACTTTGTTCAGATTCAGCAAGCTCTAGTCCAGACTTAGCTGGGGAGCTGGGGCACCATTCCCACTGCAGCTCTTCAAGGGCTGGGCAGAATCTTACTCTTCTGGCTGTTGGAAACCTTGTTGCTGCCTGAAATTTATTCTCAGACAGTTTATACTCTGTTTTGTGCTAGTGCTGTCCCTAAAAAGTGAGATTCCTTCTCCACATCTCTGCTTTCCTCCGTTTATATTCCCAGTGTATTTTCAGAGAGCAAAAACAGCCTCTTTTTCACTTGAGTTTGTTGGGATAACTGGGTGGAGATTCCTGTTAGCACTGGCCAGAGACATCCACACCAGCTCTGAGCAAAGTCATGTTGCATCAGAAGCAGGGCATATGTGTTTAAGCCCTCTTTTGCTCAAGCTAATCTGTTCTGCTTTGAGCTGCAAACATGTCTGTCCAGCTTCCAACTCCCAAGTTAGCCTGGGTGTCTCCACCTGGAGCTGTGCTGTGGACATGCCATCTTCTGGTGAGATGGGCTTTATGCTGTGCTGACCTACCCTTCACTCTGCCTAGCCAAGCTGAATTTCTCTGGCTAAAGCAGAACAGCAAAGAACTCTCAGGGATTTCTCCTGCAAAACAGTTTTTTAGACTCACAAGAATCCTCCGGTTATTATTTAGTGTTTTTCATTCCTACCATGGAGGGGAACCAGAATGAGCTTCAGCCAATGTATCAGGGACTAGCTTCTATTAGGAATATGTGTGAAAATTTGCCACAATGTTATTTAAAATACCTTTTCCTAACTAGTCTCTTCCTAGACTGCTGATATCTTAGCTTTCTTGTCTCCAAAAGCATTATTCTAAAAGCAGTTTCCCTCTCTGCCAGTATTTTTTTTCCTTGTTTGCACTGAAGGTTTTCAAAGATAAAGAGATTTTAAAAACAAACAAACAAACAACAACAAAACCAGAAAAAAATAAACTTAAGAATGTTTAAAAGTGTAGCTGATAGAACTGATAAGTCTTCCTTCAAATAAATGTTTTTTAAATTCACCTGGTCTTCTCAGAAGATTTGCTGCACTGTCAAAATCTGGAGCTGAATCCTTGTTTTAAGTACTTATGTAATTTCCAAACAGAAGGCTAAAGATTACTCTTTCCTGATGAAAAATTATAGCAATCTGTGACACTGTCATCCAGAGTACTGGATTTAAAACCAGTATGTAGCTTCTTTAAACTCAGATCCTGACTGACAGAAGAAAACAAAACACTATTTTTAAATGGTGTGAAGAGTAAGGTGTAAAATCTTCACCTTTGTTAAGTTATTAGTATTGTTTTATGATCTTTATACAATTGCCAGGTTAATGTGACTTGAAGATTATTGTTTCACATATATACACTTTAAAATAATTTAAACCATTTTTTCTCATCTTTATTGTTCTATTTTGAATTGACAATAATCTCTAAAATGTACTGAATCCTTATAAAAGGTGTTTCTTGCAATTTCAGAGCTGTTTTCTGTGTAATATCTTAGCACAACAAAGTGTGATTTTCCATCTCTATGAATCATCTGCTAATAATTAAATCAAAAATATCAAGTAGACCTTCAAATTATTATGTAAATCTCAGGTTACTTAGCATGAATACAATGAACTCAATTTTATCACTGTGATATTCTGAAATAGAAAGATAGATAAGTAGGTAGATAGTCATACAGGTAGTAATTTTTACAGATGCTTTTAGTGTGACAAAGAATTAGACTAAACCTTGCATTAATTAGTTGTCTTTTTAGGGCTTAACAAACACTTTTGTTTAGGAAAAAATAGTTCAACCTTCTCTATGCAGTAAATTTATACACATGTATTATCTACTGCCACTTGGCATAAGCTACAGTGTTAAATTTCCTCTGTGGTCTCCTCCCTGTGACTCCCCATCTCTGGCTCCTCAGCATGCCTTCCTGGCCCAACAGGGCTCAAGCAACAATGGTTCTGCAGCCGCATTTCAGTTTCAGGAACATAGATTTTTGCTGTGGTGTAATTCCTTCATGGTTACCCATAATAATTTCTTCTTGTCTTGTCTGGAAGGG